ACTCCTTTGTTTCTTTTTATTTTGTAAGTGACGGTATTTTTGTTGAATTAAATGCAGAACCAAATAAGTATTAATGTACATTCCTGTGTACATTAAGATTTACACACCTCTCACAATGAATAGTGGGGCCGCAATTTTTTAAATTGTGGGCCCCCCACCATTGTGAGAGGAGTGTAATGCATGATGTACACCCAAGTGTGTACATCAAGCGTTGCTCATACAGAACCACCGTCGACCGTTGGAAAAGAAGAGTCGTGATCAGATGACGCGGTGACGCCTACTGTCCAAGTGAAGAGAATTTTAGGCAAGCAGTCAGTTCCATTTGATAAGAAAAATTCAACAATTATCATTTTGTTACGTGGATGCATTTTGGATCTTCGTCCAATTTGAAATCTTGAACTAGGAACTGATTGTGACTGTCACAATCTGTCATATGACATTTTTAGCTAATATCGTATGAAAATCGGGTTTGCAAGGGACGACAAGAGTTCGAGTTTACACAAGGGCACTGGCACTACAAAATACAAAGAAATTTGGGCAGAAGGGCACTGATGCTACTTAGGCAAAAGGGCACGATTATTTGGTTTCCCCCTAACATAAAACTTGAGGAAACATAGAATGTAACCAACATGAACACAAAAAGAACCCATTCAATTAAAAACTGCAAAAAAAAAAACATCTTATTTCCGTCGAGGCGCTGTTTGAGAGCCATTAATTTCTTGTAATGTATTATAAAATAGTAGATTGAGGGAGAATGCATTATTAAAAAGTAAAATTTTTTTATTGATTTGTGTGTAAAATATTTTACTATGTGAATGTGTAGTGAATAACGATACTGTAGCAAATAATTTAAAATTTTAAATGACGACAATCAAGGCGAAGATTCTACAACCATCGACACAAGATATACACCTACCGCTACAACCATTGACTCGACACCATCTACATTCCTACACGATCAAAACTTCCAAGCAACCAAAAACAACCCACCAATTACACATTAACAAATAACAACCTATTAATTTTTCCCTATGATTTCAATCACAAACGACAACCTACCAACTACCACACATAAATTTGTTATGTAATCCAAATCCCAAAACCGTCTAAGTTGTTCTCCATCCATGAGGAGTTGAGGACTTTGTGAGAGCTCTCTGACCACAGTGACACTAAAGTTGTGTGAAATTTCATGATATCGATGAAGAATTTTCCATGACGAGGTAAAATAATTGGTTTTCTTTATAGTTTCGATTCGAAGGCGATTCGGGGGTGGTTTGGATTTCCTGTTTTGCCTGTGGAGATTGGTCCGGAAGGAGATGTTTCTTGATTTAGGAAGGAAATCGATTTGTGTGTTGATCCGGAGAAGAAATGGATTTAGGGTTCAACTGTGGAGATTTTGGTGGAATTGAGTTTTGATTTGGGTGTACGAGAAAACGTTTCTTGCCATTTTCTAAAGGGAAATGTTGTTTCTATTT